TGCAAGGTAACTGTTCCATACATGGATGGTCTGGAATCCTTCATGGCAGCGATGTCCTGATTGCGGGGATCCTGGATTTACTTTGATTTACTAATTAAGGAACTGGGAAAAAGCAAGAACAACGTCAATTCCGCAGAATTGCGAATCTGTATGAAAGGTTGCCTCATTATATTATATATGTTTTTTTGGTGAAGGGGATTCACCCAGAGGGACCAATGGGGATTCACCCAGACACACCCAATCCGCACAACTCAGGATCGCGTCCGAGAATGTCCAACCTCTGGTTGAGACCCATCGAGATCATAAACACACGGCTTCCAGTGGTGAACTGAGAGTGGTACAGTGGTACAGTACAGTACATTCCTCTACAGGATCCAAAACACCTTCAATCCAACACCCCTGTTAGGCCATGTTAGGCCTGTGGCCTGTGGTGTTCATTTGCCAATCCGAAGTAGACCATCGAAGACAGACTACCTGCCAGTCCTGTTGCTTCGCCGCCCTCCTCTGCCTGCCTGCCAGTCCTTTGCGCCAAGCTGCGAAGGAGTTCTCGGAAGGTTTCTTCTCTGAAGTGACCTTCTGAGCCTGGCGATGTGTCCATCAACCGCCGACAGACAGCCACGTCGGCCGAGTCGAGCGACGAAGGGGAGACCAGCCGAGTGAGGGAGACCGCCCAGACGAAGGATCCGAACCGAACAGTTAAAAAATGGCCTTTTCAGTCGCCCTCTTAAGCTGTGCCCCGAGGATCTCATCTGTTTGTGCACAACCAATGACAATGAGACTTCAAATGGAAACTGTTTCGCTGCTTATATCTTGACATATCTTGACAAGCACAATACCAAAAAAAAAACACCTTAATCAAACAAATCAAACAAGAGAGTTGTGGAGGGTTGTGGGCTAAACTAAGACCCTAGTGGCAAATCCTTCGTTTGCTAAATAGTGATAAATATGAAATAGTGGAGTACTTGTGTGGTCTGCTAAACCAGGGGGATAATGCTTTCCATATCATAATGTACTACGTAACGTAAGCAGGTGAGGAGGTCTTCCTCGTGACTACAGGTCAAGCAGGCACTCAGGGGTGCTTCAAGGCCAACCACTGAGCAGTTTGGACGATTCATTCAGGTCATGAGCGTTGAAGAACACATTCGTAAAGGAGTCTTCCGGTACATATATATATACTATAATAGTAAGCCAGAGTGTACCTTTTCGGGGTCATTCAGGCGTCTCCTCGCATTTGCGCGTACCTCCATGTATACGTCATAACGGAGGGGCGTTTTGATCCCCACAGAATCAAAGACGCACTGCCAGTGCTTGATGTATCGTCCAAAATCTCCCAAATCACTTTGACATCCAAAAAGAGCCACAGTCAGGTTCCGTATTCGGCAGGTCAATCTGGTGGGAGCTTTCTGGAATGTAAATAGTTTGTGTTCGTGGTGATTCTGCTTTTTGCCTTCAGCAATAGTTAGTTGCTTGAAGTTACTTGTTCACTTCTCAAATGCAATTGCCGGTTTGCTTCAGTGGCCAGTGTCCATGTCTCTGTTAGTGAACAGGAATGTATAGTGTGAAAGCAATGCGTACAAGTAATATAGTAATGCGTACAAGCAATGGGAAATGTTGATAATTGAATCATGCTTAATACTTAATATATCATATATACATATATTACATTCACTACATTTTCTCTACATGCCCGTACTGTTGATGTGGGTAGTACTTTGACGATGTCTGGTTATTTGGATCTGGATCTGGTCACACCAACAACCTGAATGCAAGCACTTAGTGGAACGAACGAATGCTTTGGAACATCTACCAATCTGGGTCAAATTGGACCTTTCCTTTACCTGCAGCGGACACCCTGCACCCCCCAGTCTTCCGGTATGAAGGAAATATGGTCTTCCAGTCTTCCAGTCAAACATGGTGGAAATCTCAAGGTCCCTCGTTGGATCCGATTGGCCTTGGAGGTGCCAATTCGACGGAATCGTGCCGATTGGCCTCCGGAATCTCTTCGACGGCCTGGCGAGATCAAGATCGGCGTCCCAGATGTTTTTCCACACTCTTGAACCTCTCAAGGATCACATGTTGGGGTCGGGAAACACATGATATCATGTTGGCCCAAAGTGATACACAAGAAACACACCGCACGTTGACCTTTTCCCCTACGAAAGAAGCCCACTCAGCCACATACTAGCTGGTGATGTTTTTAAGAGCCATCAACAACAAGAACCAAACAAAACCAGGGTGACTAGTTTGGCGCCTTGATCGGGACGAAGGTGTTGACTGCCACCTGACCGTACTGAGCCTGTTCTTAAAAACAGTGCTTGGCACAGCTTTGGTTAAGGTTTGTTTCTAAGCTTTCTGTCACTTATGTGTTCACTTTGTGGTTGTTCAAGAAATGTCCGAATGTATCCAAAACGTGGTCCAGAAAGCCACCACCACTAGTACATCCATGCCACGTATTCCACCAAGGGTGGGAAAGGATCCGACTGGAGGCGGGTTCCGGATGAGGAACCCTAAAGCAATCCCAAAGCACTCCATGCGTGGCTTACTGTAATTTTTGCTGATCAGTTCGGGTGGCTTCAGAGGTCAGTGTGTGACCATGTAGGAATATGATTCCATGCATGGAGTACCTGGGTATGATGTGGAGTTCAAAGTCATGACCAGAAACACCCCTCTCAACTGAGGCCCGAGGGGATCCGAGGGGATCCCATCGTTCCACGTTCTTTTTCGTTCAGGATAGGTGCATTGTCTGCACTGCTTGCATCAGCTTCTATTGCGCATCGAACTCGGCTCCTGTAGCAGGAGGGGAGTTCGACACGCCAAAGCAAGGATTGAATCCTCAGCAAAACAAACCAGCATCGCTGTATCAAAGAAGAGCACTGCAAACAACAATTGAAGTCTCGAACAATTCAAGGTCCTGAAGGAATTGGATCAAGGAACACTCATGAGTGTTTCTTACTGGACTGCGCTACCAAATCATTTTTATTTGGTAGCGAGTTCTTGAGGATTCACGAGATCGCTGTCATCAAAGGATCAAAATGAAACATGCCCCCGAAGGGTGTGGTGCTCCGCCAGCGACAGCAGCCGCTGGCGATCTCCGGACCGCGAAAGAACGCCGCCGCGGACGGGCTCCCAAAGCGCCGCTCGTTGCAAGGCAACCGCAACCGTGAAACATGGCCTTCTCCCAATGTGCTTTCAAAACAGTCATTTGAGCAAACTTAGCTAGCAGCTAGTTGGCCATGGTCCTTTTTTCACAATCATGTCTTGATGATCATGTCAATGGTGATCCCCAGCCTTGCAAGGTGTTCGAAACTCCTAGCCTTGCAAGGTCCTCGTGCTTGGATGCCGTTTTCATGCAGAAAACAAAGATAGGTCGGGTGGCGTTGGTCCACCGACGATCGGTGTCCACCATGCGGTGCGAGCGTATGCTAACGTGCGGCATTCTGGTTGTGTCACATAAGCGCGCTGGTGCGGCAAGCTGGGTGCGGCATTCTGGGAACCCCCATCCGGAATGGATTCAGCAGTGTCGTGTGGTGTCTGTGAAACTCAGACCGCCGGGCAGGGGCAGTATCCTTGGAAGCGAATGGGACCAAAAGAATCGCATGCTTGATGCATCCAAAGAGTCCATACCAAAAAGAAGAACTGGAGTTGCTGCCGTAGTTACTCAAAACTTGTCCCTTGTTTTCAGCACCCCAAAGTAAGTTTCAGCCTTATGGATAAAATAGAAATCCCATGAAATCACCCAAGAAACATTACATATTGTTAATCTTTAGTAATGGGGCAACCAGAACCACCTGCTCATCTCATCTCATTTCAGTGTCAGGTCCTTTGCCGGGTAACCCTGAGCACATGTAGTGGTCAGCTGATCCGTGGGCGTCTCATAGACCAAGGTTGTATTGTCGCCGGCAGGGAAGTGGGAGTTCTGGAAGCAACTGGCGACCATGTCCTTGGTTCTTGCTCCCATCACCAAGCTGGCTTTGGGGGCTGCACATGGATTTACAAAGTATAGCTATATTATATATATATATAGCTACATAGCATAGTCACACTGAATTCATCGAAGACAAACACATAGTATGGTGCGTTCTTGCAATACGTACTATTCTTTGCTGCAAGATGCGTGCTTCACGCAAATGTCATAGTAAGACTTGGTCTCTTTGAACAACGCAATGCAGGGGTTCAAGATGGAGGCCAGCCTGGGTTGTATGCGTTGGCCCAAACTGGGCAAGCCAAGGAGGAAGTCCTGATTCCTGCCTTTTGACCCGGTGAACAACCCCCAAAGGTTTTCACTCGCGAGGAGCATCCATGCTATTGGCCAATACTGTCGCCAGAGTTTCATTCATGAAAGCTCTGAGAGTCTTCAAACGAACTCTTGCATCCACCGCACCTACAAATGGCATTCCAACGAATTATACGGTTTCCAACTCCAATCCCTGCCTTCCAGACCGACCATGTCCAGTCCAACTTGTGTTGCGGTAGAACACCCAGTCCCACATCCCGTCCCACTCCGGACGACAGGACGAGCAGTCCCGTGAGTTGAGTTGCCCAATCCCCATGGAAAGCTGGTGCTTTTACTCTGAGCATTGTTTCTACTAGCTTACATTGCCTCCGTTCGTAGTAAGTGCCAGGAGCCCCGTATAGCTAGCGTTCTTGTTCCCGTTCGATAGCGATGCCCGAAATGCTCCGTTCGTTGCTTTCCGGATGCTTTCCGGTGGCGGACTGGTCATCAATCTCCCGTCGACGTGTGGACGAAAACCACGGCAGACGGCAGACTGGACGGAAGACGTGACGAATCCAGGCGCGAAATCGCAGGCGACGGCGCCGAGAAGAGTCAAAAGGAAGACTGGCCCACCAAGTGACCAGTCATTAACACCACTCTGCTGGATCTAGCCTGACTTTCAAAACGATATATGATGTCGAAGTTCAGGGGACGTGGGTCGTCTTCCAAGTGCCCACCTCACACAAAAGGAGCGTTCCTTGTCCCTGACCACGGGAACTCTGTCGTCTCAAGGCCTCCTAGAGCACATCGTTCCAAGTCGCCCAGAGCCTTTCTTAGACATGGCCAAAGTGGTGCCTCCCTTCGCATGGCCAAAGAGACCTGTCAACAAGCACCGGAAACCACACGACAGGAAACCGCCTAGAACGCGGGAAGTGGATCGCCCTAGAACGCGGGGGTTTGGGTGGCCCGTGTCGGCAGTGTGGAAGATCTTGGAATGGAAATCACTTCGTGGTCAAGTATAAACCTGCAGGTTCACAAAATGATCCGTTAGGAACAAGAATCGCTACTAGGGGCTCCTGGCCTTACTACTAGGAGCGATCGGACGCTACTAGGGAGCTCCTGGACATACTACGTACTAGGAGCAATGCTCGCTACTACGGGGATGACAATGTTCCTCGTCTCCAACAGGATCCTTTTCTTACGCTGGCCAAGTGACGAACATGGGAGAACCATGGGAACCCGGCCTGTCTGGATGTAGGCGAAGGTGGTGCCGAAGCCGGCCCACATGGTGCAATCCCAATTGGGTGTCATGCCGTCGGTGCACTGGTAGTTCTTGGCCTCCAAGTGGACTGAGTTTGACTCACAAAATTGGGCCACGACACATCCCAGGAGAAACGATCAATCGCACAAGAAAGGATAATACATGATAGTACTGTGAATAAGACTGTCAATGCATGAACTGAACTTGATTGGCAACAGGAACAATGGATACAACCCATGTGTGGTTGCATCATTGCTTCACTGGCCACTCCGACACATCGTCCATCATTCGATGGTTCGATCAGTTTTGTTTTTGGGAATTTTATCTCAATGTCCACTGCGCCAACCCAGAGAACAAGGGTCCACAAAAGCATCATCCTGTTGCTCCAAAAAAACGCAAAACGTAATAAACCAAATCCAAACATGGAGGGTTTTTGAGGCGCGGCCCTCAACCACTTTAATTGTTCGAACGACTCTTGGACGCACGCTGTCCAGCTGACAAGTCAGCCGCCTGATCGGCATAGACCCACATCGCATCTGCATCGCCGTTCATCAGTGTCGTCAGGGCGTCTTGGTTGGCGTTCCCTGTGCTCACGGTGGGATTGACAATGGTGAAGCCGGTGAAGCGGCTCTTGGTGCACTTGTTCTCCACCTGCGTGGGCAATTCAATCTTCTGTGCACCTGGTGATGCAGGCTCTGAAAAAAAAACACTCACCTCTGAAGAGTGACTGGAAAACTCCGCCGGGGGCCCAACATGCAAAACGATTTCTCAGAGGACGTGCAATGCGGGGACATTTTGATATGGCCGCATCGGCCACTTGGAGTGGCCAGCCGCTTCAAGTGGCTCATGTGGGCGCCAGCATCCCTCTCTTCTTTTGAATATAAATTATCGAATCTCTTCTCTCCAAGACCTCTTTCAACCTTCCTTTCAATCGCTCTTCTATTGAAACATACCTGAGAAGGGGGAAACAAAAGCCAGGAGGAACACGCAGGTGACGGAGACGCGTTTGGAAAGGTTAGGAAGCTTCCTTGGAGGTACTCCGCACCATACACATGGAACCGGCTTTCTTCGGTAATAAATGCAGCAGTAGCCACGACAACACAGGCTAGTCAATCCTGCGTGCCCAATGCGATTTCTTGAGATGAATTCTGACCCTCTACATCACTGGAGCTGAAAAAAAATCCCGTTCTAAAATCATTATCCTAGTTTCAAATCACAGCAATTCCAAGCGGTGGCTGTCATGTAGACATCTGCTCATGTATATGGTTGTATGTTGTGCGTCCCCTTTCATAGCTGCATTCTGACTTACAGGTCGTACGGCTCCACATGTGAAACTGAAAGTAGCAGTCCTCTTATAAGCAGGTCGTCGATATGATAGATGATTTGCCTATCATTCCTCTCTTTATTCGTGCATACAAAGCCCCCCCACCCCAGCTGCCCTTCTCGTCTTTTCACTCACTCTCATCACCCCAGTGCAACGTAACATCGTGCAGGCAATCCGCTTGTGTGCATGCCTCTAGTGTATTGAGTAGTAGCCCTGGTAAGCAGTTGGCCAAGTGGTCAAAGTTGCAAAGTGGTCTAGCGCACATCTAGCGCGGATCTAGCGCGCTCCCCTGCCAGTGCGTCAGGCCACCTAACGGCTGTCATCAAGAGCACGCGTTGCGGTCTGCCGGCTTTCCTAGCTTTGAAATCGTTATACAATAGCTCTTCCTCGCACAAAAAATCCGAAACACAATGGGAGCATGCCCGCACTGGATGGGTGTCGGTGGCCTGCACACATAAACCAATCACAGCCAAAACGGCCAGGTTGTCCGTTCATACCTCAACAAGTTTTATTGCCAATGTGTGTATGTGTTGTTTGTTAATCTTACCGTACCTAAGTATTTGAACCTAGCGCCAAACCTAGCGCAACCCTGCGTTTTGCTATTGCAACAAGGCAGCATCTCCAAGTTAAGCAACAGAATACCAAGCGGTGGCCAAGCTATTTCTGAACCTCTGGGAACCTTCCTTACTTTATGCATATTACCGGGTTTATGTTTTCAACATAATGGAATTGCATGCCTCATTGGACAAATGATTGCAAAATGGGTGTCAAACACTTGTTACTCTGGCTCAACCCCCCAAAAAAAATGCTGCCTTTTTTGCGGGGAAATCTCGCTGGAATTGGCCATCCAATTTAGAGAGCGGGAGAATCTAGATCTCTTTAAGCCAGAAGCCAGAACAACTACTAATACATGTACCGGGCACCCCATTGATATCCATTTATGACCCTATAATGTGACCAAGTGTTGCAGTGACATTTGCATGGGATGGTCTGGGATCTTCCATCTTGGAAGCTTCGTCCCACAATGCGCTGAACATCGAGCCAGCTACCCGTCTCGCCCCTAAGCCAAGCCACCAAGGCCAGGGTGTCCGCTGTTGGGGCCCAGCCCACCACGTCCACCACTTTGAGTCCGTTCAGGTCACTGGCACCGTTATACCTCAGTCGGATGGAACTGGTCGATGTCAGGTCGCTGGTCGTTCAGCTGGTTTAGGAGTCGCATCTGCTGAGGGACAATTTGACGTGGGTCAGACTTGGCCCATTGGATGGTGTGACTTCAGATTCTTGGAGTAGAGTTAAGAACCCCAGTGAGGGCGGGAACAACACTCTTGAGACATGTTGAGACCAACCCCCCCTGGTATGACCAAGAAACACATGTACAATTACACATCAGGGCATGGTCCTCTTGCACCTTCACTGCGTTTCCCCTTTGAGGGCTCAAGGTTATGTGATGTTCTTGTGGCATACTGAAACCACCGGTGGCGGTTTTACCTCCATGGGTGATCGTTCAGCATCGGTGAAAAACACTGGTGCCGGGTTCGAACATAGATAAAACCATGATAATCAAGGCTCTTAGTCCAAGACTGGGCCCAACACCCCCATGGAAATGCGCATCAGAAAGGTTCTCGCACTCCCTGCCCCAGGTTCAGCGGATTGCCTGGGGCCGAAGCATGCGGCCCCATGTTCGATGCCCAGAAACATCGGGTTGCCATTGGCATCCAGGCGAACAATAAGGCCTGGAGAGGCTGGACAAAACCGGTTTCTGCAGGCAGGTCCGGTTTCTGCAGGTCTTCAGAAAGGGTGCTTGATTGTTGGATGGAAAAACACGGTAAGGAGGGCGGTGCTCGTATGTTGTTCTCTATAGTTTTTGTCCTGCAAGTTTCACTTTCGGGGTGTGGTGTCTCCCCAAAGTGACGTCGCTTCATACCACTCCAACTCCACACGAAGCGGAAACTTGCTTGCCTGTTTGTAAAATGACGAATATAGTGCTCCAAGGGACCATTATCCGCTTCCATAGTTCAACAAACAATGATCACCTATATAATATCAATATATATATATATATACCAGCACCTTCAAAGGGGTCACCAATGGAAGCCCCTACACCACTAAGGGACCTCCATTGGACACCCCTTGAAGGTCCAGGTATATAATTATGTATATATATATATATATCTATATTCTATTACTATACACACCAAAATGCCTGTTAGGGGCCCTCCTATTAAAGACACAGCCATCTTCGGGATTTTTTTGTCGTGTTGAAATCATCACTTGTTCCTCTTGACAATCAACGAATTCACAAAAGCATGTTGACATATGTTATCTAACCCCTTCTGACCCTTATTCCCATTCAACTATACCAAACATCTGTTACTGTAATATCATATCCCGCCCGCCAGTTGTCTCAAACCACTACTTGTGTCAAGTATTGGCCCGGGCTGGCCTGAAGGCTTGCGGTTTCTGTCAAGGACTTTCGAATCTCCTTCCGTCTTCCTTTCCGTACCAACCGAGATAGACCGAAAAACAGGGTCGTGAAGTCGTGAAGAGGGGTTTCAGTGATTGGAAAAATCCTTGAATCTTGGAAGGGGAGAACCATTTGTTTATAGAAACTGGCCGTCCATCCAAGAGGCGATTTTCCACTTCCATGATTAATTGAAGGTACTCTTATAGAAACTCAACTTGGGTGCCTATCTAAAATCGGGACACCTCCCTGGGTTTGCTTCGGAAAGTTGGCCAGTCTACCCAGCCAACAAGGGGCGAGTGCCAAGTCACACTTGGATACCGGGATACCGTTTCAGTGAATTTCTGCGGGTCATGTTACCGATATAGGCCGGTGCTTCCTCCTTCGATATAGGGTCAAACAGAACGGCATGAGTTTCGGAATATTGGATGTACACCTCAGTTAAAATCAGAACATAAAATCAACAATCCCATCAGTTGATTCTAGTTACAGCAACACCGTCCTTTTCCTGGTATCTCTTTGAACAGGTGTGATCAAGATCTAACCCGTCTTCAATGATGAAGGCTAAATGGAGGGGGGGTCAACAAAAATCGTTTATACGAAGTTAGTGCATCAAAAATACCTTCCACGAAGTTCTGCGAAGGTTTCTTGGATTTCGTTGCAGTCAGTTCTCCTACTGGCCCACCATTCCACGAACTGTCCACGAATAGCCTTGGGTTCTACGAATGTCCCGCGCCTTCCACGATGTTAGTAGAATAGGTTTTTGCAAAACCCTTTCTGTGCACCACCTTTCCGTTTGCCTCTGAAGTGAATCCCCTAGAATAGGTCCTCTTACATGGGATGCCATCCAAACTCAACAGTAAGGCATCCCTATATCGCCTAGCTGACGCCCAGGCGGGGCGGCGCCGGGGACACCGCAGGGTGAAACAGTTGCCCAGGCCAAGCAGATCCAGAGCGCCGTTTTCTGAGTGTGTCGAAGGTGCCGTTTCTAGGTGTGGCCGTCGGCTGCATTCTGCCTTATAGGCACACCTCAGCTGCCAGGCAACTGGGCCAGGTAACTGGGCATCGAAAGTGACGTGCCAGGCAACTGTGGGCTCCAGAAGGCGACGTGCCAGGCAACGTTAGGCATTTTGGCTGGCTGCGGCTCGCC